AGGTCTCATCAACACTCCAAAAGGATTTGAAACTGGCTCATAGGCATCGTAGCAACACATAAAGTCTCGGCAACACAGCCACACATGTCAGTGAGTCACGGGGAAGTTGTGATTTTCAAGGCAAACTGGGACTCTCAAATTAAATTTATGTTGGGATTTTCGATGAGACAAAAATTTATTTGCCATCACAATATATGACGCTACTTGTATTCAGAATAAATAAGCTTAAAGGTATCAGTAAGCCAAAAGTAAGAATTTAGTCACATTGAGTTTTTTAATTTAAGAGCGTCCTGTGGCCTATTCCTATGACTAGGAAAACTTAAAAATCAGTCCTTAATTTCCCTTAAACGACCTATGGTGTTTAAAATATTTGTTTATTTCGCAATTTATCCTTCAGCATCATCTTTCTAAAGGAAAGAACCATAATACAGTCTGAAAACCAGAGGAGAAAAAATATTTGTGGACACAAGTTAGTCGCATTATGGCACTCTAAAATTTCATATTATGACCCATCTCAGGAAAATATCAAAAAGTTATTTCGACATGATTGCATTTTCGAAGACTGCTGAGCCAATAAAAGATTTTTATATACAAACTTACGCAGTACTGCACCATCCGCCAAGAGTCCCTGTAATATCGGATAGTTAACTTGATGGATTCACAGGCATTTCGCCATAGCCCGCAGAGTTAGTGAGAAAGGCTTAGCAACAATTGGCATCTTATCAAATAGAAAAGTGAAGTCAGACCTTCGATACAACAACCATTCAGCATAAAGTTGGTCAAAAGATGGACTTCACATGTCCCTTTGACAAGATAGAGTTGGATGGCAAAGTTTAGTGAAAATATAAAAAGATATTGGCTTTCGAAAAATACTTTAATAAATTCCCATTGTTTTATTTCTTAACTGTATGAAAAGATGGGGAAATTTAATTTGGAAATGCATCATCAGAGACAAAAGCAGAATTGATTTGGATTTATGACCTGATTTGCGCAAACAATTCCGAGATGTACCATCTTGCGACCCAGATGGATACGCACTGAGCTTTCGAAAGTAAAGTCGTCACATAAACGATCAGGTATGAAAAAATCATCATTGTGTTAAATCCATAAACGTGGCCGACCAGACTCTTTAACCTTCATTTAGCCTTTTTGGAAGTGCAAGTTGATGGTCTACTCATCTCCTTGTATGAAAATTTAACTAAGTGCTTAGATCAGCTTAAGCAGTCTAAATAGACTCACGTTCATGTGTAATCATTACGTTTGATTGATATTTCACTCACTAGGCCGAGATTCTAACGCCACTGAGTTGCAGAATAGAGGCAACCGTCAAGACATCCCAATAATTCAAAGTAGTCTATAGTGAATGATCAAAGATCAAGCAAACATAGATAGAGGCAGATTTTTGTTCATTTATTGAATAAAACTGGTAGATTTTAATAGAAAAAGCAAGGGATTTCTCTGTTGGGTTACAAGTGTGTTTGTGGTCACACCGTGTTTAAGGAGGCGTCAGGTGTTGAACTGACGAGAGCCTAATTTCAACCTTCGTTTTTTTGTTAGCACAGGGAAACCTGAAGTTAGCAGGTGCGGGTAAAGATATAAATACATTAAGCTACGTAGCACAGCTATATTCTCATCCAAGAATAGAAGCAATTCTTCCCATAAAATCATCGTGAAAAACTCAAACATTAGGTTTGTTGTGGAGCAAAAGCTAAAACGAGATCTACAAACAATGTGAATAGTCACACTAATGTGCGTGCTTCTGGATCCACGCACTTAAGATCTTAATCCTGCTGAATATGCGAATGACGCCTAATTTAGATCTGGGCGTTAGCCCATCCTGACTATGATATCATTCGTAGGATAGGTGGAACGGAATTCGCTAGTTATGAGAAACTCAACCTACATGCTTGCCGAGACTGGAGATCGACTGTCCAGCCTCAGAGAAGGGTTGGCGGGCGCTCGGTAGCTGGTCGCTGAGAATAGCCAGTTTTGCCTCGGCATACACAGCCCGAGCTTCAGAACGACGAATCGCTGCCAGACTGACCTCTTCGGATTCTGCCAAATGCTGTGCGAGACGCTGCTCGTTGACGCGGCTTGATCGAAGATCCGACTCAAGACGAGTAATCCTCTAAAGTTGCATATCGCAACCGACATAGAGCAAAGGGGAGCGACGTGGTGCACAGTAAGGGGGAGTGAGCAAGAAAATAGGAGGAATAAAATAGTAAAGAAATCAAGGTAGAAGGAGGCTAATAACAAATTGATGCCCAAAGCAAGCAAAAGAAGACAAGGATAAAATGAAAAGAAAGCATAGCTCATAGTGTATGTACGCTAAATTCACATATGCTGCTCAAGATATGGTAGGATAATCGGAAGGAAAGTCAATCATAGGCAAAGGCATTAGCCAACAATCGAGTTAGGCATGTTCTAAGGTTTTTGAGAGATAAGCGTAAAAAGGATGCCCTACTCAGTTATATCACTTTCGGCTCAAGAGTTCGTAGTAATTTGGGGCTCTAATGTGGACCCTTAAGTTGCACACACTGACAAATGGGAAAAACACCAACCCTTTACACAAAAAGCGGACAGTTTTTCAGTACAGAGCAACTAGATACACGTAATCAATAAGTCTTAGAGAAGACTTGGAAATTGAAATTCGGTGGGCCGGTAAATCAAAAAATATACAAATCATACAATAATCTCATTGCTTGCTCAGCAGAAGCCTTCAGCATAGTTGAATCAACAAATACTATGGGATTTTGAGCCTCTTCGATATCAAACGAGAATCTTTGCCTCTTACTTTAATGCTGACTCTGAATGTATGGGGAAAAAACGCGGATTCACATACACCTCCTGAGATAGCAGTGTTGTGAGAACTTTCATTTCATATGAAAGTGCATGATGAAGATATTCGTAGGTCGATCACACCAGAAGACGACGGCTGATTTCCGTTGCACTGCAGCCGTCATCTTCTCGTGAGATCGACCTACGAATCTCTTCATCATGTACTTTCATATGAAATGAGTCTTAACAACAATCACTTTAAGCAGACCTACTCGATTCCAAGCCAATCCCATATAAAGAAGGATAAGTGACAAGCTGGCCAGTCTTCCTGGATTAGAGTTATCTCGAAGAGTTGATGGAACTGGCTCCTAGGTCTGAAGAGATCTATCATAGGACGGAATTAACGGAAGCTGAAGCATGTTGTTACGATAGCTGCATAAAGCCGTATAAGACCAAGGAAAATCTGTCGTTATTTTCTGATGCGATCGACCTACGAAACTTTCTACCTAGTCTAGGGGTCATTGTGGTCCACTTCAAATAAGCATAGAACTCATTGCAAGTCCTCTCAGAGCGGAAGAGCGGAGCCATTATGCCAGTTCAAAAAGAGAAGACCGCTTAACGTAATATAATTTCCGGATTGCATACTCTATTTTAAAGTAAGGAAATTTGTTCGCAAGGTTCCTGTTGAATAAGACTGATAACTTCACTTAGTCATCTCAGAATCTCAGTGTGACTTTTGGTCAGTGCATTCAACAGATCATATGATTCTTGCCAGAAGATAGCTTGTTGGAAAGACATTTCGACGGTAAGGGCTCTTTAGTCAGCTTCTATAAAGCTGAAAAAAACCCTTTAACCCGACAAGCCAAGAACCTCTCTGGATTTTGCTTAGAAAATTAGTCTTACATCAGGGGATTCGTTCACACATTCAGTGTTTTATGTCAATTTAAATAAGTCCTGTCCCCTAAATGAATTTTATCTGAACTCCTCTTAAGTCAGAATTGCATACTCGTCTCAACATTCCTCAACTAAAAAATAATTACGAATGTTGTTAATACTCCCATTAGCCAAACCTCTTCCGATTTACCTGCATAGTGGGACTTTTTGTCCCACTTAAGACGGGCTCAAATTTTTCATTACAAATTGCCACATCACTATAACCTAATTGAATAGATCTCGAAATTATCATGAACTCATGAATAAGACGGCGATCCAACTATAAATGTAAAACGGAAGAGAAAGTCACATCTATCCTATGATTCATTGGCACCCATGACTGGCAGACTGTTAATGC